GCCACGTAGATGATGCGAGTCATGTCGAATGGACCCGCGCATCATCACTCGCTTCGTGTTTCATTTGCGCTTCCGACAGCTGGCCGTCTCGAGCCTGAAGGGGAATGGTGGCCGACCGAGCTTACGGATGGAGGTTTCACTGGGAGACATGGGCATTCACTTGATTTCTCAATCCATCAGCTGGAAGTTCAGGACACTTCCCACTCACAGCTTTGCAAACATCACAGTTGGCATCAGCTTTGGATATGAGCATGTGTGTCTATGAAGGCATCCTATTCAACAGAAGGTAAGCTGTGGAGCTGGTGTTGAAGAATGCAGAAAGATATCTCACGTATGTGCGTTGTGGTTGGTCGGTTGCTTGCTTGCTTGCTTGCTTGCTTGCTTGCTTGCTTGCTTGCTTGCTTGCTTGCTTGCTTGTTTGCTCGCTTGCTTGCTTTCTTGCTTGGTTGGCTGGCTGGCCGGCTGGTTGGTTGGTGGGGGCCAACTATTGCAGCCAAGCAAGAGATGAACAGCGAAGCGAGAAGACGAGCAACCCCACAGCAGCAGATCGTCACTTCTCGCTGACCACCCCCATGGGGTAGCGGAGCGACACACATAGGCGAGGCCAAGGGCAGGGGAGCGTCGCTTGGCCGTGATAGAACTATGGGCGCCGGAACGCGTGCAAGGGCAGCTGAGCTGTGCTTTGTGTTGGGGGGGAGGTAGATGTGCAACCGCTGACACAGCCTTGCGTACCTCAAACTCCGGAGGTGCTTCGGGACTATCCCAGTTCTGTCCCTGCCCTCTCCCATTCCTTTCCGAGGAATCCTTTCTCTTGTGGACCCCAGCATATTAGTATATATTAGTTCAAGAGTCAGCGGATTGTCAAGGAACCATGACCACGTCTCACGTCTAGGCAAAAAAAAAACAGGACTGACCACGGACAAGGGTCAAAATGAGGCCGGCGCCTTGTTGGTGGGCGCCTTTTTGGCCTTGGGCACGTCACGACGTCGGGGGGGGGCACTGGCAGCTTCCAGCCTCGAGGCCCTGGCAGCATGCAGCCGGACCAGGCGGCCTTGGCAGCTACAGCGCTGCAGCAGCCCGACGGATACCTAAGGGCTCCTGGCGCCTTGATGGATCCAGTACCCTTGGGGACTGACCCAAAGGTGGTCGTAGTTGTTCAAAGGAAGCCCAAAGTGTTCATTTGCCCTCCCGAAGCATGGAAGAAAGAGAGTTCCTAGAGGACAATGGCTGGTTTGTTTGTTTGATACTTGGGAGGGTGTATGAGCAAAATGAATAGGTTTTATCCATCCCAACTGGTGCAGGATTTCGTTCATTCACCGTATTGGCTATATTTAGCAGGTGGCTGCACTACCTGCTTGCTGTGGCGGGGAAGTTAAAAAGGGCTATATAAGATCTTTATGAACCAACAGTCAACTGCACATTGAACAAAGACGGCATACACTCTAGTCTTGAACACATCTGATCTCATCCACTTCAATCTTAACTGCTGCCAAGTTGCGTGGCGATGCGTGTACTGTGTTGCGGTACGGGCGAGGGGAGTCTTTAGTATGGATCTGGCTGCAGGGTGTGCAAGGGATCCCACTCAGCCGAGGTAACGTTTTTGTGTGGTGATCACACTGGGGCGGATTTTCCCGTGGGGACCCAAGCGAAGAATGGATGTGAAGTGCCTATGATGTTGCGCATGGTTGATGTCTATGAGTTGGCATCTTGAATGCAGGCCATCTGTTTGATGTTGCTCAAAAGGCTCCCAATGTGGAACCAAATTCAATCTAGTTCGAAACTGTGAGCACTTTCGAAACAATTCAGGGTCGACACACGCCCATGTACACATCTTGTGTATGCAGGGTGCTTGCATTGCTGAACCTTCTATCAACATGGCCCACGTTGTTTGCTGCTTTGCTGCTGTGCATATTATTTGTACACACCTTCCAAGCACACGGCCACATCATTCAACTCGCAGAAAGCCTGTATAGTGAGCGGGTCGTTAGTTGGAGGTGAAGGGAGATATTTGGCCGGTGTTGCGCACTGCTGGTAGCTCAACCATGTTAGCCCTGGCGTTGACATGCTGTCGTATGATCGTGGTACAGCTTGAACGTTGATTTGTGCCCATCAAGGCATGTTGTTCCGAGGGTAGACCAGTAGTTCTCTGAATAGACCCTTAGATATATAGTCAGAGTGGTGAGTGGGGTGTGGGATGCTTGAAAACACCACTATGTCATGATTATTTGAGCCGCTAGAATAGATCCCTGATGACACCCAGGCTCCTGCAGCTATTCCCCCACCACCGGGTCTTACCCTACGGCCTGAAGCGCGCGCTGGCAACTGTCCCCGCGGCAGCTTGGCATGCGAACAGCGTCGGAGGCAGTACCTCTTTCCAGGGCAGTTTTCATTGGACATATTGTCGGACCGCACAATGTTTTAATTCAACGGGTATGTTACTTCCAACCGTTCTTTCCAGCAGCCTTCTATTCAAAACACTCCAGAGGAGCGGCTGGTTTTTGAAAGAACGATGCTTTCCAAGCACCGAGAATCAACCCTTAACTTCACAGCCATGAATATGGTTTGTTTTGTCTTTCTGCTGAGAAGGTGTTTCGTTTGAACGTATGACCATGCAGTGTTGAAGTCTGAAGCGCCATTGCTGTTCGATTGCATTCTTACGTTGCGGAGGTTCCGACATTTGAGCGCCCAGTCTAAACATGCGCCCCAACCTATGAGCCCACGCATGGATCACTTATCGTGATATATGGTTGCAGGCACTTTAGCAGCCATTTTCTCGCACGGGGCGCGGCTGTGGTGGAATCCCTGTTGTTCCTACCCCCAAACCTGTTCCCTTTTGAGCCCTAAACATTTTTCGGGTTGCCAGGCTGCTGTGGTTGTGGTAAGCTTGCCGAACCTTACCCAGCATGCGCTTGAAACCTGTTGCGAAACACCACATGCTGGTGTTGTATCAGCTGCTTCGTTGCATGTTTTGAGCGGTGTGTGGACTCCTGTTCTTGACCTTAACTCTACATATTGGTACGGTGTGTGTCAAAAAAGAAGGAGCCTACACAGAAAAGAGGGTGGCTTCGTTGTGGTATGTCTTTGAAACATACCCGCAAACTGAAAGCACGCAACCATATTCGGCTTATGCCGTGGATGTTCCTCCTGCCTGTTGCCCGATGTCCGCCATGTTGTCAAAGCAGTAGCTCCTGTGTGCCTGTTATACTTGGATGCGACTGGGTTGCTTAGGCTGACTGGAGGAAACCACCAAAAGGATGAGATGTGAATGGGAAGAGTTGTCCATAATCACTTGGGGGCCCTAATCGGAAAATTGTAAAGTCGGCCCGCATTTGACGGGTTCCCAAAAGGACATGTTGGATCGAGGGGGGATGTCACATCCGGAAGGACCCAGAGGCTGCTTGACACCTTGAGCTGCTGTGATGCTCAGCAGGTTCATCAAAAAGAAGGTTGCCCAACATATTCTATATACCCTCCTTCCCACTAACATGGCAACTGACAAGGGTCCCTTCAAAAGGAAGTTCATCTTCCAGGCACCTCCCCACAGGTGCCATCTTAGTTGGAGAAAGGGTAAGGGCACTGCAACTCGTTTCTTTGCTTTCCCTTTGAATGGAACCAAGAACCCCTGAGCTGGAGTTGTTCTGAACTCGTTGCCGGTTGCAGCATGAGTTGCCAACTACCGATCTGCCTCGTGAGTTTGTTTCGCACGCGTCTCCCAACGCTTGCGAGGAACGCCGAAGGGAAACACCCAGTTCGGGGGGTCCCACAGGAGACAAACAAAATCGCGTTTCCCCCTTTCTGATGGTTGAAGCCAATCAATTTTTAAAATCAAAAAGCCATGGGTATGTCTTTGGTTGATTTGTTGACCCCTTTTCGAATGGTTTGAAAGGGACACCAGAAAAACAACCAAGTTTGAACAAAGCGCAAGGAAACCCAGAACCCGCTGCTAAACTTGTAGATTCTGACAAACCGCCGCTAAACATCAACCGGAGGCAAGTTGTTGGCGGATTTTTCGTCCCCAGGAGCTTCGGGCGCTCAGGGAGCGGAGCGGCAGCATCACGGCCGCGCCCTACGGTGTGGGGAAGCTGGCTATGCTGGTGCTGCTGGAGGCCATGTTCGTCCAGTGGCTGACATGGCTGTGGTTGTCAAAACCGTTTCGGAATCCCATTTGGGTGTGGGTCAAAATCAAACCAGGGGACCGCAGATTTTGGTCCATGTGTCCACTTACCAGGGTTCCATTTTGGGTACCTTTTTTTGACCCACAGCCATTTTGGTTGGTAGGTGAATTCACCACCCATTTTAGAACCTATTTTTGTGGTTGGATTGGGATGTTCACTCGGGGGACGATTTGGATTTTGACCTATGGCCAAATGAATGTTTTCTTATGTTCCCTTGTTGGTTTCACAGGAATGAATCACTGGAGAAATGTTTTTGTTTTTTTCCTTGAAAGGCTTAAGCAAATGGAAGAGGTCCACAGCGAATCCAGCGAGTTGGAATTGGTTTGCATGTGGCCACGTTCTGAACAAATCGATCTCGCCTTCTTGCTCGTGACCATCTGTCAAGATCCAAAATGTGAACCTTTGATTCCAGGTCCTGTGTTGCGATTGGGAAAACAATCACTGCAGCCGCTGTACAGGTACAAAGCTAAGCTTTTTTTTTCTGGGGTGGTTGGTTGTCGACATGGACACCAGACAACCTGGAAAACCCTTCGCAAAGCTACACCATGTTTGCGGCAGAAGAACATCTCCTGCCCCACGCAAGGCAGACATGGCAGCAAGGGGAGTTTCCGATGCTTGGCCCAATGACCCACGCCAATGCGGCGAACGGTTTGGTTCAACAATGTCTTTGGCTGTTGGTGTGTGGATTGAACCCTTGGTTTGCATCCACACTTGTTTCAAATCTTAGTACAACCCTTGTTTGTTTGGGTTTAACGCTTCAGCCCTTCGATCAAATTGTCACTGCTGATGGGCATGGGGTCAATCATTATTTTTGATGACGGTTTGAGCATGAAGAGTAGGTACTACCAGCCAATTATGTACGTATGTTAAGCTGCTTTGCATGGTCTTCCGACAAGGAATCCTGCCAATCTATTCAAGTTCATCGCACTTTCAGCCGACACCGAAGACAACAACTTCTGCTTACAAATGGCCAGATTCTCGAAAGCAAAAAAGAGCATGTTGCGCTGTGTGTGTGTGTGTGTGTGGGTGCGTGCGTGCGTGCGTGCGTGCGTGCGTGCGTGCGTGCGTGCGTGCGTGCGTGCGTGCGTGCGTGCGTGCGTGCGTGCGTGCGTGCGTGCGTGCGTGCGTGCGTGCGTGCGTGCGTGCGTGCGTGCGTGCGTGCGTGCGTGCGTGCGTGCGTGCGTGCGTGCGTGCGTGCGTGCGTGCGTGCTGCGTGCGTGCGTGCGTGCGTGCGTGCGTGCGTGCGTGCGTGCGTGCGTGCGTGCGTGCGTGCGTGCGTGCGTGCGTGCGTGCGTGCGTGCGTGCGTGCGTGCGTGCGTGCGTGCGTGCGTGCGTGCGTGCGTGCGTGCGTGCGTGCGTGCGTGCGTGCGTGCGTGCGTGCGTGCGTGCGTGCGTGCGTGCGTGCGTGCGTGCGTGCGTGCGTGCGTGCGTGCGTGCGTGCGTGCGTGCGTGCGTGCGTGCGTGTGTGTGTGTGTGTGTGTGTGTGTGTGTGTGTGTGTGTGTGTGTGTGTGTGTGTGTGTGTGTGTGTGTGTGTGTGTGTGTGTGTGTGTGTCTGTGTCTGTGTGTCTGTGTGTCTGTGTCTGTGTGTCTGTGTGTGTGTGTGTTTCTGTGTGTTTCTGTGTGTTTCTGTGTGTTTCTGTGTGTTTGTGAGGGTACCTGGTTCAACTTAGTTTGAAGGTCTTTTGGGTGCTCGGTGTAGCGTCCGCGGGAAACAATTCAGGTCCAAATCGGAAAAACAAAAAAAAACAAAAAAACGACAAGAGCCATCCCGACCAATGCTTGCCTGAAGTTGGCCTTTGTTGCCTGAGATCTTCACTCTATTGGGGCATTGTGTTGTGGGCATCTTTGACAAAAGTGCGTGTTGAAAGGCGAATACTTGAGCCAAGTGTATAAAGCTAATGCACTTCTTGTCGGCAAGTCTCTTGAACGAAGTGGGGGCCACCCCGAATTTCCCACGGGAACAAGACCACCTGGGGAAGCATGCGTAATTTTACCCGGAGCTGAAACACCCGTTTACTTGAGACTGGTAGCGATGGGCATCGACCACTCTAAACAGATTGACAACCAACGTAAGGGTTCCCAACATATTGTGAGGTTTGGTCAACATAGGGGAACTCACACATCACACATGTCTTGTCCCACAAACTCTAGGGAACGAGCCTAAAAAATGTCCCATGCCCTCTGCTATTTTGACCGTGGAGTGTTGGGTAACTGTTGTTCTCGGTGCAGGAGCTGCAGATGTGCGAAGTGCGGCACATGGCGCGAGGTCCAGTGGCCCGTGGCGAAGCGCCTCTGGGACGGTCGAAGCGACCCACGCAGAACGGCGCACAAAGAGCCGCTGTTTTGTATGTCTTCTTTGCGGTTTTCCATACGTTGACACTTGCTAGGTGAGGGTATGCAACCAGCCAGCCATGAGGGTTCTACTTTGACGTTGACCCAGAATTACCAGGACCCCCAAGGGCCCCAACAGCTCGCAGATGGTTGGGTGATCTCCCTGGCTGGGCATGGGGCATTGACCCTCACGAGGCAGGGCGGGGAAACGTTTCTCAGAGGCCTGTAACAGAACGAGCTCGGTCCTAAACAGAGGGGGAGGGGGGCGTTCGCTTCTTTCCAGTTTAGGAGTTATAGTAGTTGATTGCCCCAGAAACCTGGCTGGTGCATGCTCCAGGAATTTGGTCTTGACCATGTAAACTTGCCATCAAATGATCCTGCGAACCAAACTTTCCAACTTTCAAGCTGCTCGTTTTTTTCTTTTTTCCGTGCGGCTGGAGCCAACATAAAAGCTGGACTTTCAAACCCCCGCGGGACTTGAACCGGGAGTCTATGGCTCATTCCTTGACGCATGGTGTTTCCCGATCCGAGGTCAAGCCCCAGCGCCCAAGAGCTCTCAACCCTCCTGGCCGTTTGCCTGGAAGGTTCCAGGCGCGACATAGTTCTGACATTTTGGGTTGCGGATTGCGGACAACTACTCTCCCTCCCACCAACATAGCAGCTGTGTGAAAAAATACCTGGAAGATGAAGTTGTTTTTGAAGGGACCCTTTGCGAGGTGCCATGTTAGTGGGGTCTGCCGGCTTTCCACGACCAGGTTTACTGCAGTCAAGGGCGTGACATTGGGTACACTCACAAAACAACATGAGGAAATGGGGGTTACCGGACCATACCCACATTCCCTTCCCAGTTGGGGGGCACCGCAATGAATACTGACCATGGACGTCATGGTTGTCGTAGTTTCGTATCCATGACATCCTGTTCGATGATATTGTTGACAATGGTCGCCAAGACTCACCTGCAACTGGCAAGCGGATGGAGCGTGGCAGCTTGCCATGAAGTGTCAACTTTTGCGTTCAGAGCCAGCCTTGATCGGTTAGTCTACGATTTGGCTATTGGAAAAATAGCTAGAGCCTGAAGCCACCCCTTTTTGGCAGCAAGGATTTTTTGTCGCACCAGCCTGTGCATGCCTTTCGCCGGCGAGAAAAGCATAGACAGTGCGTTTGCACTGATGCAGTCAGGCCGTGGCGCTTGGAGGAGTCTTCGCTGGTGCGCTACGGTGACGCTGAGCGAGATGCCAAAACATTGCGCCGGCACTTGCTCCTGTCTGGTTGGTCGACAAAAGCAGGGTCCCCCAAATGGCTGCAGCTCAAAAAAGTGGTACCAAAATGGCACCTTGGTAAATGGAACCAAAGACTAAAACCCGCGTAACCCGGGCTCTTTAATTTTGAGCCATACCAAAATCCTGAAACTTGCTTTGACTGGGATGTGTCGTGTAGCCCCAGGTCCAACTCGACTCGCGATATTTGTTTTTCCTTTGAACTGACGGCAAGTTGTTTTTCCCTTCCCGGCTCCCGTTTCTCCGCAGTCGCAGACAGTCCATTACCAATGTTGCCATTGCTTGTGGCGATTTGTTCAACGTCAGCGACTTGCGAGCCACCAATTCTGAGAAGGATCAGCCTCACGACAGGCCTGAGCAACCATCTGAGCTGAGGGACCATATGTGCACGGGGCAGACTTCCTGTGCAGGATCACTGTGAAGAGACACCCCGCAGCAAAGAGGCACGTCCGTACAGCATGTTAACGCCCTGCGTCATCCATTTGGATGTTCGGAGTTCGGATGCCCTAAATATGCACGGGTAGAAATCCTCGTTCTCGTGTTTGAACTATTTACGGACTCCACCGTTGGTTGAGCCACGGCTAGAGTCACAGCCACAGAGCGACAGGAGATTTTCTTCCAAAGGCCTCGGGTGTGATGTGCTACCTAAGCAAGTGGGCACCGATTGCGTTCCTTTTTGTGAAGGCGCATTTACTCATCAATCTCCCTGGCGCGCGGCGCTACATGCCGAGTTTCGCTGCCCTTGTAGTACTGTAGGACAGCCAAGCGCTGCAGTCCTTTTGCCACATGTTACTAATTATATACCACTCTCTTTTCAGCACTCCTTTCAGTGGACGTGTGAAGCCCTGTTGGAGATCATGATAGTCTTTCCAAACCCCTTTTGTCCACTTCATTGGGTCTGTTGGCTGTCGGTTCGGTTGGTCTCAACGTCTGGCAGGCCGAATCCCACCCGGAATTGCTGCAGTTTCTGCAGGCAATGTCCCAGGAGGCGGAGTTTGGGTTTCTTTTACATGGAATGAGGTGGTGGGGGCTGATACTTGGCTTTTGGGGGATGAGCAAATGAGTAAGGGGATGGCCATTTTACCACGATGAGCAAGTGGATGTTTTTTGCACCAGCCCTTAAAGCTTTTTCCGAGCTTCACACTGCTTCATGGGGATCATTTTTGTCAGATATCATTTGCGAGTTACAAGGGTTGGCCTCAACAACCAATTGGCATGCCCTTGCCTATGAAGAGTTGAGAGGTATGACGGTGAAGCATGGGGAGCACCCAATATAAAGGATGCCCACTCAAAAGATTCCCAAATAAAAATGAATAAAAGCCATGCCTTGATGAACTGCACAATGGCCATGTATCGTGCTCAGATGTTTTTGCTGGTCAAGCAGATGGCAGAGAGAACGCAGGCACGGATCCGCAGTTGCATGGTGAGGTTTGCTTTGGCCTCCGGACCAATGATTTTGGCATGCTTGTGTTTTCTGAGATGGGTGCGGGTCAAACATAGGTACCCAAAAATGGTTGCCCTGGTACATGGAAACACTGACAAACACCCTCCGGGTGGTTGAATTTTGGCCCGAGATGGAGATTTATAAGCAATGGTCACGAATGCAATGCCATGAAGCCACCAAGCAAGCCTACCGAGCGTCTTGAACATGGTTAACACACACACACACAGACACACTCCCTTTGGGGGACCTCCCGGAACGCACCACCACTCAAACACACAATTTGTTGGGGAAGTGCAACAGTTGGCTCAAACAGGAGGCGTGGTGGCGGGGTTGGTGGCAGGATCAGTTTCACGAATTCTCCCGGAGACAGCCCCTGCACTGAATTGACCCCGATGGAAGCTGACGAGGCTTTTCGACAACTGAAACTGCTCCCGCTCCACTGCCCGAGTTTGAGCTTGTTTCTTACCGGGGGTTCCCTTTAAGATGAGTGCTTTGTCTTCCCACGGAAGTCCACTGAAGCTCTGTATACTTATTAATATTCCTGCTAGGGAAGCCTTCAGTCTGGCACACGTTCAGTTGACTTGGGCCATATGTCTTTTCTTTGGAGCCTGCAATTTAATTCTTCGGTAGTTATCTCAGCCAGGACTAGACAACACCAGTTGCGCATGTTTCATTGACCCTATGACCCTGGAACTGCTGCAATGCGTCACTGGATTCTTGATTCCAATTATGCCGACAGAGGGTCCATTGCAAAACGTAGAGGTATCACAGTGGTTGTTCTCAAGCTCGTGGACCCCCCAGTAGGAAATCACTATTGGGTGCCTCATAGAACCCCCCCCTTGCTCTGTTTGTGGGAATGGCGGCCTTGCTGGTGCTCGTTGGGCGCCGAAACTTGGACCTGTCTCCCAGGGGATGGAATAAGAACAGGTGCTCTATTCAAAGCTCACTCCACAAGTCGAAATAAATGGCATCCAGCAGCTCCTGTTGGGCCAACAAACTCCGTTTCTACGTTTCTCCTTGATGCTTGCAGCACAGACCACCAGCAGACTCCGAACCAAGCCAAGCAAATCTCTCTGGTACACATCTGCATAGGTCGTCCTCACTCGCGTGGACCACGAGAAAGCGGAGCGTTTGGCCCGCGAGGCGCCTTGAGATCCGACACGAGGTCTGAAAGGGGCTCGCCTTGTCAAGTCATGAAAGCGGTTTTGGGTGAATTTGGAACCGCCCCTTGCTAATCAAAGGAAAGACAGAAGGAACCTGCCACTTTAGAGTTCATCGTTTTTGAGACACACACTTCAACCATGAATTTGATGTGGTACCCTGGAGATCCGTTCTTACACCCTATGTCCCTCTTGGTATGCGGGTCCCAGAAACTAGGTTGGGGGGTCGCAAAAAAGAAAAGATTAAAAAAACAAAACCCAAACCTGAGGCGAATGTATCCTGAATTTGCTTGCCTTGAGTTGCAAATGCGGCCGCCGCGGGCGTTCCACAGCTATACCACATACCACTTTGGAAGACCCTTAGCACATGATCAATGCACATCCCAGCCAGATTGGGACAGAACCAGACTTGCGTTGAACAAACAAAAGAACGGCATCCAGAGCAGTGTTTCTCTCTCTCTCTCTCGCTCTCTTTCTCACACACGCAATGTGAGGAAACCAATCGTGGCTTTCTATTTGTAACGAAGGAAGGCCGCAGCCACAATCCTCCACGCAATTACAAGGGCCCAGATGACGTCCCCCGATATTTTAAGGAAATCTCAATTGCCCTGCCAGGCGCAGGTCGCAGAAGTTCTGAAATTGCTATCGAACAGGGCCCGGCATCTCAGACTTACTCGAGGCTGTGAAATGACAGATGTCAAGTTGGATGTGCATTTTTCAAGGGCAGCCCTTTTTGGTGTCTTGGAAGGAAGACCGAAAAACAAATACCACCATTTTCAGGGGTCTCCTAAAAGAAGACACACCCAGTTGGAGCTTGAATCATGTCATGCCAACAGCTAGCATTCGCCGTGCAACTGACTTTGGTTGGCGCTCTATGCGGTTTCGCGTTAGGACGTAGCAAACTGGCTAGATTGAGGGTACGCTGCGACCAAAAGGAACATTGGATGCCGGGAACGCACTCCCCGATTCAGTTGTTTGAAAGGGGGTTATTGGTTTGTGAGTTTGATTGCCTGTTATTTGTCTTCCATTCTTTGCCAATCGGCATCTCGGATTTGCACCTCATGCGGCGGCCAAAGGTCGATGGTCTTCGCCGTGAAGGATGGGCTGTTGCACACCCGTGCTTGTGTTGGGGTAAGATCATTCCTGAATCCTGTTGCCAGGTGCTAGAGGTTTCCCGCTTGTCATAGCGGTGTCCCACTACCCAGCTTATTGCCGCATGTGAGTCTGCGTGCAGGTTACAGTGCATGGCTGACAGCAACGAGTGTGAAGTTCCATCACGCAACTGACTTTGGCAGAGGATGATTGATTCGGTTCTTCTATGCTTGTCCTCGAAATAGGCGCAACAACTTGTTGGTCACCATGAATTACAAAGCTCAATTCACCTATCGCGCTTGCGACGTAGATCCAGTGTGGCGTCCAGACTCACACCCACGTGCGGCTCGATGATATATATATATATATATGCTCCTCTATTCTCAGGGCGCGTGCCCCCCGATGCGTGCAGCCCTGCAGGATCGGACGAGCGTGAGCTGCTGGGAAGGCGGTCGAAGGGCGCCCAATGCAAGCCGCAGATCGCAACTGCAACCCGCGTCCCACGACTTTCTTCCTCTGGGCCTTCGATATTCCCCATTTTGGGATTTCACAGCTTTCTCTTCCGGTGCTGTCTCGGAAGGCCTGGGGAATCCAGAGAGGATTTTTGACCGGTGTCACCAGGCCCTTGGACTTGGTTTGGATATGACAGGCACAAGTGGAATCAAAGTTGAAGGCAGCCTTGCAAAGAGGCCCTTGAAAGGAACCACAATGCACCGAATGAGATGAGAATTTGGTAAATCCAATGATCGCGAAGGTCTTGACTGCTATTGGGTTGGATCTTTAGACTTTAACTTTTTGGGAGATAAAATCCCCCAAAAGTTAAACTTTTTGCAGGGGGGTCAACAGCAACCAGAGAGATAGTCGGGGCAAGCAACCGCCCAAGTTTGCGTCCGTCTACAGAAAAGATGCCTCCTCTTGAGTTTAACCAGAATCTGATTTGCCCCAAGACCAGGCTCTTGTTTCTACGCGTGGGCTTTGCGTTGGCGTACAAGTAAGTGGACTCGCGCCTGCACTCGTTCTTGTTTACAGGTGCATTTGCTTGTGCTGCAAGCCTGACTGTCCATTGTACTTCCTTTTCGATGGTTCAAGGGCCGACCAGAGTTCTGTTCGTCAGTGACGCTAGTTGGCGCAGTCCTTAAGATAGTTAGCGCCCAAAAGGGTTCCCAGGCTGACCTACATGAGCCCTGGGCCTGAGACATTGATCGATCACTGTGAGTCTTTTTGAGGGTCCCCTTTCGACTTTTGACCTGGGTTCAAGGAGAAGCCAAACTGGAAGGCCACCATTGTGTGCCTTGTGTGGAAATATTGCGACGTTTGTGTTTCTCCGCGGCTTTGCTTCGCTCCTGCTCCAAACCTGAATTCCCATGGTCGACTCGGTCGACTAAGGAACAGCAATGTGAACAGGTGATGCTGGTCATGACAGGTGACCCTGGCGATGTGAAGAGAATTAGTTAGCGTGTTCTTTCCAGTGCAGCAGAGGGAATAGGTGATGCTGGCGACGCGAGCAAGCGATGCTGGCGATGACAGCCCAGCTAATTAAATCTCGGATGTTTTTAACAAACATGCGACCTTCTTCCTGCTGAATCGAAAAAGGCAATGTGAACAGGTGATGCTCATGACAGGTGACGCTGGCGATGTGAAGAGAATTCGTTAGCGTGTTCTTTCAAGTGCAGCAGAGGGAATAGGTGATGCTGGCGACGCGAGCAAGCGATGCTGGCGATGACAGCCCAGCTAATCAAAACTCGGCTATTTTGAATAAAAATGAGACCTTCTTCCTGCTGAATCGAAAAAGGCAATGTGAACAGGTGATGCTGGTCATGACAGGTGACGCTTGCGATGTGATGCGAATTAGTTAGCGTGTTCTTTCAAGCGCATCAGAGGGAATAGGTGATGCTTGCGACTCGAGCAAATGATTCTGTCGATGATAGCCCGGCTAGTCAAGACTCGGCTGTTTTGAAGGAAATGCGGCCTTCTTCCTGCTGAATCGAAAAAGACGGCTTCGCAGGTGTCAGTGCCTCTTTGCGGACACGACCAGACTTGAAGCTGAGGAGGGGCTTTGCAAAGGTCTGCGCAGGCTCTACCTTTGCAATGGAGGTGTGTGTGTGTGTGTGTGTGTTTGTGTGCATAGGTGTCCTTTTTGGTTGGTTTGCTTAAAAACTAGAGGGCCCTGGTTCAGATGGGATTTGTTCCATTTGCCAGGGCCATCTATTTTTACAAAAGGCCACCTGTGTGTGTGTTTTTTGGGGGGCCTTTAGATCAGCGGGTAATTTAGTGGATGTCACTTTCATGGGCTCACAACTAGAACAACCGAGGTAAACCGAGCTTACCCATTGAGGTCCTGAATTTACTAGGGCCCTTGTTTCCGGTTGAGGATTTGTAGAAATTTGCCCAGATGTATGCGAGCACGAAGGCCGACAGACAGATGCCACTTACATGCCAGTCGCATGCAAAGCATTCCACTGCAGACTCACAAAGAAGCCTCCAGGTGGCGTGGAGAACATTGGATATATATATATATATATATATTAGTGTCAGTTGTCGCATGCCACAATCGGATGACATGTGATTTCCTTGCAGCAGTTATCTCCCGCAAGGCTGGCATGCACCCCCAAAGGGGGGCATGACCACGCCTCTAGCTAGTTCTTGGCACCATCACGGTCCTGCTAGCAGCGACCGATGGGTGCCTGTGTTCAACGAGCAGATGCCGCCCACGAGATCGATTTCGGCAGCGAAGCATCAGCCAATGAGCAGTTGAGCACCATGTGGGTGATCAAGGCCACTCGGTATGTTTCCACTCCCAAACCGAAGCTCAGGAGTTCGGGATGTACAGGCCACTTTAAGGGTATCCCTGATGTCCCCCGGCCCAGGTTGGGGGCAAGGGAAGCTATGTAAAAGGCAAGGCCCTCACGTGCCCTTAAAGTGAGAAAGTGCTGAGCCTGGGTTCAACGTCAATCCTCAATCCCTATGCTCCGTGGCTTCCAAAACGTTTGGTGTCCGTCACGGATGGCGGGTTCGGGATCCCGTCCACTTGGAAGAACGCACCCTTTTTCTTTTTTCTTTCGCGCGTGCGCCCACGCGGACATGGCGTGCCCGCCGGACATCTTGCTGCATCTTGTTGCAGTTCCGTGGGACCCAAGCCTGAGGCCATCTGACATCGTGGTAGACTTGAACCCAGCGGTTGGGTTTCCAACCCCAAAAATTTGTGAAGCGTGCCCAGAGTCTATATAGGGCTTGATCCAAAGGTCCTGTACATGGGGTGACCATGAAGGAAACAACCCAAGATGGCTTTCACCACCAAATGGGAAAAGTTGCCCATGGGATATTGATCAACTTTCATATCAAAAAGTGGGACCTTGGCTTGGAAGCCGTTCCACGCTCAGGTGATGGACGTGATGAGATTGAGATGTCCCGCACCATGCCGGGGGCTTGGCTCGGCATCGCCCGCGCCGGAAAGGGCGACGGAAAGGGCAACGGTTGGGTTGGGCCATTGAACGTGGCCGTGGGTCAACACCAATGGGAGCCCATTTTGGCGTAGGTGAATTCACCAGCCATTTTAGAACCTATTTTAGTGGTTGGATTGGGATGTTCACTGGGGGTGCGGGATTTTGACCCATGGCCACATGGACGCCCATGCGGATTTATTCTCAATCCCCAGAGGAAGCTGCACCTCCAATTTTTCTTTCAACACCGACCACCTGGGTAACCACCTGATTCGTCTCAATGCTAGGTCACCAAGATCTCAAGGCGGCGGGGAAACTAGTTCCCTGCACGCCGCTGCTCGGCGGAAAGGGATTGGGAAACAAGGAGAAGCCAAGGCCATGGTAGGAATGGGCTGCTTCAGCTGGACTTTTCCAGTGTCCGATTAGATTCCTTCTTGGTTTTGGACCTGGAGGATTGCTCTTGCGCTTTCTCTGATTTTCCGGAACCCTCACAGAAAGTCGAGCGGATGGTTGTCCCAGAAGCGGTAAGCGCCTGGAGCTGCTTGCAAGGCTTAAGCTGCATCCTTGGTGTCCTCGAACCATAGGCTGTTTCATGGCAGCCATCGGACCCGGGTAGAAGGCTGCCCCAGAAGTAAACCCGCCCTGTTAGACCCCTTTGTGAGCTGTTAATGACTGTGGTCTCCCCTGAGCCCGCTTCCATTCTCACGCTTGCGAGGAGTCTGTTTGCAGACTCGTGCGTGTGTGCGTGCGTGCGTGCGTGAGTGAGGGTGTGTGTGTGTGTGTATGCTTTTTAGGGTACCCCTTTTTTGGGTTGTGTCAAGGCAAACCAAAAGAAAGACACGCAGTTTCCTTCTTGATAGTCCGAAGAGTCTCTGGGATTGCTCGTTGTTTTTTCAGCGTTTTTGGGAATCTCTGGATTACCGACAAGTTTTAGGAACGCAACATGGGCGGTTCTGCATCAGCTTTTGATTACTTGGAGTAGGGCTTGCCGACCAGCTGTCCATTGTTGGGGATTGACAGCCAATATGTCACTGCGGTGTTCAACATCAATCCGTAGTTCTGATACCAGAAGGTTTTGGTGTTGCTTGTAGTGGTGTCCCACAGCAGGGTCGGACCCGCTTTTAAGCCTTTCCTGGTTCAGACTTCTGTGACTGTCTCGAGGTTCGCTCTAATAGCAAGTTTTAGCGCGCGGACAAGCATCCGGGCAACAAAACATCGTGCAAACAAGATCCGGCCAAATTCCTAGGTGATAACTGATGAAACTGGTCCGGCACCAAACGAGGCTTCGAATCCTGCAAAGCAATTGTTCCGTTCACCACGGCCCTAGCCCAAGAAAAGCTGTTCCAGGCCAATCCTCCCGCGCTGTGGCCACCACCTGACCCACGACAGAGGATGTGAAGGTTCAGTGCTAATGGCGTAACCGATGCCGAACAGCAAACACGACGCAAGTTGCAATTGCTGGACTTGGAGGATGCGGGTCAACTCGTAGAAGAGACAACCAAAAGCGAAGAAGGAGAAGTTGATCATCGCTTTGCGAGCCACCCTGGTCAACGAATGGCCTCGTCACCTTCTTCTGTACAAATACCGTTCGTGGATTTGCAAACAAGTTCCTGCTTAGCCTCAGTAATGATGTCCTCAAGAAGGCTAAGCATCATCCAAGCAGCAAGGTAAACTTCAACTCCGCGGAGATGACAATGCACCTAATAACTTTACCACGACTGGCAATGCGCATACGGACCAGGCCCCGCGTGCTCAAAGCTTCTGAAAGATCGTTTGTTCCGGCAAGCTTCGTGAAAATCAGTGATCAAATTAGGAGTTCCTGTTCTTGAAGTGCATCCTGTGTATGTATACTTTAGAGCCTCCGGCTCAGTGCGCCGACATTGTCCTCTCCCTTTTCTCCTTCGTCCTCTCTCCCTTGTCTCCCTTGTGTGTTCTGTCGTCCTTTCTCCCTCCGTCTGCTCCCCATCCTCCCCATCCCCCCAAGCCTCTCTCTCCCCAATCTCCCTCTCTCGTATGTATGTATGTATGTATGTATGTATGTATGTATGTATGTATGTATGTATGTATGTATGTATGTATGTATGTATGTATGTATGTATGTATGTATGTATGTATGTATGTATGTATGTATGTATGTATGTATGTATGTATGTATGTATGTATGTATGTATGTATGTATGTATGTATGTATGTATGTATGTATGTATGTATGTATGTATGTATGTATGTATGTATGTATGTATGTATGTATGTATGTATGTATGTATGTATGTATGTATGTATGTATGTATGTATGTATGTATGTATGTATGTATGTATGTATGTATGTATGTATGTATGTATGTATGTATGTATGTATGTATGTATGTATGTATGTATGTATGTATGTATGTATGTATGTATGTATGTATGTATGTATGTATGTATGTATGTATGTATGTATGTATGTATGTATGTATGTATGTATGTATGTATGTATGTATGTATGTATGTATGTATGTATGTATGTATGTATGTATGTATGTATGTATGTATGTATGTATGTATGTATGTATGTATGTATGTATGTATGTATGTATG